GCTGACAAATCTGCAGCAACTGTGTGATGCCATCATGTCACCATGGACCAGACTCTCTGAGGAATGTTTCCAGCACCTTGTTGCATCTATGCCACAAAGGATTAAAGCAGTTCTGAAGGCAAAAGGGGGTCCAACCCGGTACTAGCAAGCTGTACTTAATGAAGTGGCCAGTGAGTGTATGATGCTTTTAAATCCTTCCTTTTCACATGTAAATCTCTATAAAGTGGAACTACAATGCTTTGGTCTGATTTCTTCCTTATTCTAACTTCACAGCTCCTCTTTTGCCTCTTTCCTGCTGTGTGTCTCAAAGCAGCTCATTTTGTTACTGTTCGTTTAAGACGCTTCAAGCCCCGCCCCTCCTCCAGCTTCCAGACCGGTCCATTCCGGTTTACGTTTTCTAGCTTGCACAAACATTTTATTTGCGATTTAAATAAAAGATGTCAGCAACAGAAGACTTTATTTATCCGCCACAGATAATATGATGTAATAGAAAATAAAAAAACTGAACAGACTACTCAGACCCAAACAGAATAAAGATATGTTTGCAGCACAAGGAGTGACTAAATTGAACTTTTCTGCCTCCTAGTGACTCCAAATCCACAGTAAAATATATTTAACAGTTAAAAAAAGGGATTTTGCAGGATATGTCTCCTTTAAGTGTAATGATTCCAGTGTTTTGTGTTTTTGCTGTTCAGGATGGTTGGGAGTATCACGATGAAGGCAGGAAGTCGTTGGTCTCAGAGGTGAGAAGATAAAGCTGCTCTTCTCTCAGCTTCTGGTTTCTTTTACTTCACATTTTTTATTTAATGTTTTTTTTCTCRTTCCAGTTTAATTTGGTGTGTTCAGATGGTTGGTTGGTGGATTTGTTCCAGTCCAGTCTGAATGTGGGTTTCCTCGTCGGGAGCTTTGCTTTTGGATATTTAGCTGATAGGTGGGGCGGAGAGTTTATTAAAAACAACAGAACTGCCTCCAGTTATTGTCAAATTTAAAATAAGTCTGTTTTCTCTCTCCTCAGGTTTGGCAGGAGGAAGAGTCTTCTCCTGTCCAATCTGATCAATTTTGTTTCAGGAATTGCGATGGCKGTTGTTCCAAACTACGTGTCCGTCCTGGTGCTCAGGGCCATGTTCGGCTTCAGCATCAAAGGGGGCTGGATGACCGCATACGTCCAACGTAAAAATGACCACCCACGCTTATTAAAACACAACTCATWTCTAAATATTCTAATTATTCAGCTTAAACAATTAAACCCTCTTTCAGTTCAAAGTTATCAGAGCATATTTAAAGTGGTCTGGTCTCTACCACGTTCTAAAATATTCTAATCTCAATTACGTGAACAAAACTGCACATCAGATGCCACTGTGTCATCATTTTTTAAAGTAAACACCAGTTGTGAGCACAGTTTTCTTAAAGCACTAATAGGGGAACTAATTTCTTGATTAGTGCTTTAGGGCTTTTGCTATTTTTAAAAATCATTAGTGATTTAGCACTTGCTAAATTTATGGGCTAAATTTAGAAATGCTAACTGAGGTCTTTAAATGTTATTGATCTATGTGGTGCCGTTTGTAAAGTTAGACAGTCGAAAAATTACCACCAATATTTTTGTTTTGTTTAGCCTTTTATAAGAATAAAAGAACAGATTTATTTTTCAAAGTCAGTTTTTCACCATAT